GATAGAAAAATTACCTTCGAGAAAAGTTTCTGCTTTAGTATTTCCATTTTTGAATCGTTAACAATAATGGGACTAGAAATCAGCAGGTACAAATAGACCAAAAACTTGTCTCACTCGACTAAGACAAAATGAAATCTTTTACAGGAGGGACGTAACCTTGTATTAGTTGCTGAACTGAACCGTTGTCACCCGGCCCACGTCCTCATCCTCGTCTGTCGTAGCATTTGTATTTGAAGTATACTAAATGCTGTAGCTAGTCGTAATTAACACTTATTGTTTCTGTAAAATACTTCGCTGTTGTATAGGAGCTTCATTCGCACGCTAGAAAGGACTGCACCGGTGTAAAATTTAACCAGGTTAAGAAGACAGTCCACATTCAACTGAGCCTCAAGAAGTACCCTAATTTTGTGTAAGAATAAGGGGCAATGTGTTTTTAAGCTGGTGACAGGTGGCCATTTCTCAAAAGCGTTCTCATTATATCTAGTCTGTACATAGTGTTCTCTCGCATTATTGGATATAAAAAATATATAATACAATAATCAAGCTCAACATTCACTTTCCCATGATTTTTTTAATAAATAGGGCAGACGACGCACAAAAATAACGTGGCAGCACGAAACTTTGAAAGGGAGAAGTTCCAATTTGTGCATATTTGTATGTGTTACGTAAGTCTCATCACAGCAAGGCCAGTCACTCTGTCCAAATACGTGGTTTCAGCTGATCTCATCTCTCGGAGTATCGATGGTGCCTCTCCACTCTTTCTCCACTCTACAACACGGGTGAAGAAATTTTGCGTGTCTTTCGTCGTCCTACGAAATGGTCGCGAGTAGTTTCAAGTCAGGCGGCTAGACAAGGTGCACCGTACTGTCCAGGGTCAACATATACTAAGCATAAGCTGCTGTGACACAGGCGCTTAGAAAGCAGGCTTACTACCTGATTACCTGATGTGCGCTCTCATCAAAAGGTTTAGCTCACCTTCATGTGTATACCGAAGATGATTTCTTTATGTGAACTATTTTCACCAGTAGTGTAGACCGACTGATACATTCATTCACAACCTCAACAAAATATGCAAATGTCTGACTGAAGTAAAATGATAGTCCATGGGGTTAATGTTGTGGAAACAACCTGAAAGGTTTCTCTAATCTCCTTTGATGAGTCCCGATAAGAACGGTGTCACAATAAATTTAATGTGGAAAACAAAAGTAATACGATCAGGCATTATTCAGATTTTTATATGTTTATAAGGAAGGCCCTGAAGTTACTGAAATACTAAAGTTTAATTTAACAGTTTATTGGACTTGAAGTTATATGCTGTTAGTCAGATCTCATGTTGGGTAAAGAATAGCGGTTTGATGTGAAACGTGACTCCCTCTGCCGCTTTGTTACTGGATCCCACCAAGCATACTGGATCATACTTCGTTTGTTCTATTAGCTGTTTGGTACGACTCACCGGTTGTCTGTCCATATTTCCACCTGCTTCGATAAGATTCGTCGGGGTTCGTGATTTACCCTTGGGTGTGCAACTTCAAATTACCTGGGAAATCAAGAATTCATCCCAGTTTATTTGAAAGAGAACAAAGAAATAGTTAGGTCCAGAGGCATTCAAATAACGACAGCATGATTGCCTTACCCCTCTTTATTAGTGTACAAAGGAATAACTACTACGTGTGTAGAAGATCTTGTGCACAAACAATCTAAGTTGTACGTCTAGACAACGAGCAGTTTGGTCCTAAACTAGTTGGTCTAGGAAGCATCATTCTTCTTCACCTTAACCGACCAGAGCCACCCTAATCAATGTTGTCATTGAATCTAGAGGAAAAATGATTTCCTTTTCCTTTCTACAGAAAACAAGCTGTCAGTGATTTTTTTAGTCAAAGTCTACATCTTCAAGTGACTTGATGCGGACTAAATTTCTTTTAAATATAAAACCTACTGAAGGATAAAAATTCTGTCTTATCATTGGAAATTCGGCTATTCATGCTAGAGTTAGCAGTATAAACTCAATGTGAGAATTTAGGACGCTGGAGGTATTACCTTTTGCGGATCAACGTTTGAAGCTGGTTTTGCTCAAAATAGCTCTCAGAGGACAAAATTTCATCGTCTCGGCTTGTTTGTCATATGACCAGACATCCGTGTTTCTATAAATTCTGTACACTGCAATTTCGGAGGACGGCTGGGGGTCAATAAAAACAGAATAATTGCTTTGCATATCTTTGGCGGATTTGTTCAGCGTTTACTCACGTATGTGGCGTCTAAAGAAAAGTGGTCAATCCAGTAACCGATTAGAATGGGCTCCCTATTTGTGCTGATCTCGTCTAGGTTTACTGATATGGATATGACCTCCTATAGAAATTATTTAAGCACTGTATTAATGATGTCAAAACAAACCAACCAAACGCACTTATGAGCTAACCACGAGTGCCCGGAAACGGCTAATGGCACAAAAGCCTAGAAGACACGCGCACCAATTCCGTTCTGTTAAAAAACGAGCATCAACTCAACCACTTGATGTTAACATAAAAATTCCTTACATCTGGCAGACCATCCGTCCCGATAAGCAATTCAATATGCTTAATTCTGTGCAGTAAAAGGGTAATACCGGACTCAATGCTGGTCTTCATACTCTCACTTGTGACCAAACGTCTGAATGTAAACTGAAGAAAGACCTACTCGTTGACGTACTTAGTTGATCCGGAAGGCGCTGATCTGATGAGTCAAAACCATATTGCATATTTCATAAAGATGTCTAAGTGTTCAGCATTGCCGCAGCTGCGCCTCGTTGGAGTTTCAGCTAACTGATATTGAAATAATAATTGCATAGCGTTTTGCGTTTTCCCCTTTCACGCATTGTGAACAAACCTGTACACTGTTGCCCGAAATTGCAACAACTGTGGGCCGAAATTCACCTGCACACTTATGTCGCTTTAGTTACCGTCGTAAACGCATTTTAACTATGAACTAGAATTTATAGGATTAGGCTTATTTTATTACCTGCGGAGACTTGTTTTTGTACAGACAGCGGACATTATTTTTGCCGGTAAGACGCTCCATGTCACGCTTTCACAAGTGAGAGTGTGTCAGTGTGTACACATAGGTTTGGAACAATTCAAAATTGATGTAAATGCAAAGGAACATCCTCTAATGTCCATGGTTATACTCACAGTGCTTTGTTAGATTTTGGAGGTGTACGATGGGTCACACTGGCATTATTGGCCACAATTATTTGTCGCATCACAGAGACATCATACTGACATGATTGCTTCCAGATCATGTAGCCCTAACTGGAACGAACTTTAATAAACAAATGGAAACTGTGGGCTGCATAACATAGTTAAGACTGAGAAACGAGATTGTGTGGTCAACAAGATACCACAAATCAACGGACCGTATAGAATTCCGCATTCACCTTAAGTGAAAAGTTTTCGAAGCCATCGTACAAGTCAAAAGTACGAATCCTATACTGGGCAAAGGCTAAAAATAGGAAAATTTTCATTTTAAGATACCTGAATATTTCCAATAAATGCGCCGACATATTTCTCACACTACTCAACAAGAGTACCAAGTTATCTCAGTAAAAATTTGAAAAGGACTTGATATGAGAGTGGTGAGGTCTCAAGGGAATTTTCATATCTGATATGAAACTCGAAACCTTGTGTAGTCGAGCAAATCAGGTTAATTCAACATCCCGTCACCTTAAGTGCTCTCGTGAGGCATTGTAATATTCTTTTCAGGTCATTATGAAAATTTTGTCGAGCCATCCTCGAAATAAAAAATGTTCTCGGATGAAGCGATACCATATATGCATGGTTTAATTCATATTAATTCCGAAAACTTTCGAGGCACAACGTTGAGATTCGTGCACAGTAATACATGTAATGAACAGACAGGGCGAAAATGTGCAGTTGTAGCATTCAGGCAGTCGGTCAAAAAGATGGAATAAAGCAGATAAAAACACCGATTTCAGTTGTAGTTAAACACTAGTTATGTTGCTTCGGAAAATGTTGCTATTCTGTGTGCAGACAGAATTAACACGTCACCGCCACACCGTTTCGCATTGGAGCGGCCAGTTTCGCAACGTGTCCCTACATCCCCACTACGATAAACAAATTCAGCCACACATCCTCTGAGGAACTATAAAGGTTGAAACTAACTTGAACCAGGTCAATAGAATTAAACGAACTTTAAGCCGAAGAGTTAATTTTAGTGCAATGGTGCACCGATTATCCCGAAGGGGCAAACTTAATGATGCTATCGGTTTATCCTACTGAAAAACTTGCCAGTAGCTTAACGATCACGTTGTTTCAAGGAGCAATTCACTCGTTCATCCATCCGCTTACTTATGCATTGATACACACGACAATTCATTGATTCATCCGTCCATTTTTTGTGCTCATAAAAGACCTATGTCAAGAACAATGATCTATTCCCGTTAAAAACTCTCCTGTACACATGAAACAGAAAGTGACTAAACCAGTGATGCGCTGTCCAAGTGTTTTCAGCAACATTTTGAGTAATTCCATGTGAACTTGTGTGAATTTATTCGGGTTACAGTGCATAATTCTAGGTGGATGTTAATACAGTAAATGCTGCTATTTTAGCCCAGAGTTGTGTTTGAGAAAAAAAAGGTATTCTGACAGGTATCTTAAAATGACACAATGAAAATCAAGTGAAGTATCAGGTACACCAAAAACTCCCAGCTTTTGGGCATAAAGGCGAGGATTTGCGGTTGCTTCAGGACATTTCGGTTCGAAAACCGGACGACAACAGATTCATTATGGGATATCCTGGCATTTATTTTCAGGTATCCTGGTATGAACTTTATAATGCCTTGATTGCTGGGTGGACAGATTCCTTCATGACATTCGTTTAAAGTTACTAGCTTAGTCTTACAGCGATCACTGTTTTGTTCTGCACTACGCAAGTGATTTCCGAGATTGCGTGTCACCTGAGTACCATGCTTAAATCCGTTATTTTGCACCCCTACTTCATTTTATCAGATCGTAATCCTATCGCACTAACGGGTGAGCTGGGAGAAGAGCTGGATCCATTTCGACCTCATGGTGGTCATCCGCGCAACCGAATGGACACTGCACGTAAGTAAGATGACACTGCCAAATTATGTTCGAAGTTGCCTCAGCCGACTCAAATCTTAAGGGTTGCTACCTGCTGCTACGTCTGAGGTCAGAACGACAGAACCACATACTGCGTGTGAGCTATAACCAGACTTAGAACTACTAGACACTGTGACCACCCAGCGTGGACTAAAGTCTGCCCAACATAAACACTAGATCCGTCATGATCAGGCACTTCCTCCTTCGTTTGAGCAAGTCCCGTGAGTTTAAGACCTATCGATTGTTCTGGAATGTAAGTTCGCCTGAATTCAACTTGTTTTGATGTAAACAAGTGCGTAATTAATAAACCGACCAAAATCACACTTATTCGCCACAAATTGGAACTTAAATCTAGTGTTCGACAAGCAACTGATAATGGAATTCGATCGGTACAGTCTCTCAAGAATATCATAAAATCCCACATGTGTTGTCCACCTGTATGGTGTTCAGCACACCAACAGAGTGTATGCAGTGACAGTGTGAATTATTCTCCTAGGGCTGAACTCGGACTATTCACTAGCTTATCCAAATAAACTTGTCTCAATTGAAAACTAGTCGTGTAATACTCAGGCAACTTATTTCTAGCAAGTGGGAAACAGTTTGGCTAAACAAACTTCACATACCCAGTGGCTCAAATTCACGAGGTATATATTCTAGTTAGGAATATATAACTGAAATCTAATCAGCATATTGGACAGTCCCAAAATGCGTAGATATTTGCTCCGCGGTGGAAGACCCACTCATAGTGCATTTGACGAAGTGTACTGAAGAGATTCAAACCTGTAATCTTCCAGTGGGATTTTGAACACCAGTAAGCCACCAGCTGCCAACCAGTGCAGTGAATAACGTTGATTTATGCAGAATCTACCAAATTTAGCCTCCGACTTTCAGACCATCGGGATGGTTGATTGATTGCAGCTCACTAATCCCGTAGTTCACCGGCTCCCCCAGGTGGTAACGTATCGCTAAAGCTTTTGACGGTGCGGCTAATGTTTATGTCTTATTTTCAGCTTTGTTGGAGATTTCGTCTTACGACTAAGATTTTCAGTATGGATGAAACTGATGTCTAATGATTCGCATATTTTTGAAACATACAGACAGTGTCCCTTTTATGAAAAGTCAGATGACACTAGAGGAACTTTGCTTTTTGCAAGCACTACAATTTGTCTGGTCAGCCTGAGCGTCTTCAGCCCATCGTTTGATTGAAGATCGCGTATTGGCTACCACTTGTGGGCCGCGTGATTAATTCTCGTTGAAAACTAAATCAGTTTACTTGTTGAATAAACACTACTCTTAAAGTTGCTGAAGAAACTTCAACAGCCCACAACCGCTTCAATCCTTCTGGGGGTTCACTAATTAAACGCAATCCCCGAGTTCCCATTATGCTCAGGTTCTAATCGAACCTAAATTGTAGATATTTCGCGGGCTACACTCATTCTTAAACTTACAACAGGAGAATCAGCCTAATTTTATGATATTATTGAATTCAGTTTAGTTCCCCGAGAAAGCCAAATCAGTACACATATGAGTGCATTTAGCGAACTTGTCGCAGTTTCTCTTCAGATAAAACAGAAGTTAGGTGAAAACTCGCGACCAGCGCCCATGTGGGGAACCCCAGAAAGGGCGCGGCCGGTCGTGGGCTGTTGAATTTTCCAGCAACCTTTTTAGTAACGTTCCGACAAGAATATATACCGCGATATTTGGAGCATCAGAGCAACATGAACTGTGTACCATAGTTTGTTTCACCCGACATTTCAGTCTGGGTTTCGTTCTGTAAGTAGACAAGAACCTGAGGACCTTAGAAAAGCAGTACGGGAATCTCGGGTTGACGGTTGGGTACCACTCCCTTCAGCCATGAGTGCCTCACCATCCTTGTGATTAATTGACACTTATATGGGGTATATGGCCGCCAATCTTTCAAACCATTCAAGTCGCATCACATGGTCAATGGTTGGATGGCCCCTCGAATAACGGTTTCTCACATGGAAGGTCCATACATCCTGAGAGATTTTCCCCTCCCTGGCAAATTTTAATTTTTCGAATGGCCCACTAGTGTGGCGCGTGTCTAGAAAAGCAATCGTTTTGACGAATAAGTCGCCCAGTAGTGCATCACGGCGCATATTCCCTTTGTTTGCACATCCCAGTTCTCATCCTGTCAGCAACAAGCACTTTGCTTCTAGCGATCGTGAAATACTTCCCTTCGGCGTATAACCAAGATCCTATGGCTTACAGTATGCGCTTTCTTTTAGAGAGGAATCTGTGCACGAGAAAATCAATAAAAGTTTTCTGGAAGATCAATCCAAACAATAGATCTACTACTTGAGAAGCATTTGTAAACAAACCTTGCTTTTGTCCCTGAATTTGTACTACGTAGGAGCTATTGTCTTGCCACAAACTGTCGTCGAGCAGTATCAACAAAACAAACGTGAAATTCCATAGGCCTCCTCATTAGGGAAAACCTCCACTAATATATGGAACTCGGATCTACCAAGCGTCTTATTCTGAGAGCTCTTCTCTTTATCTTCACTATTCTCCCGTCCCCTTTAGCAACGGCCAATGCTTTGCGACAGCAAAAAATCGACTTAACTTGTGTTTCTAGATGCAATATTCTGGTCAATTCCACTAGCGAACATAATATAATATCATCTACTTAACTTCTAACGGAGACTAAATTATATCCTGGTGAACCATTAGCTGCAATAATGAGGGGTGCCCTTCCACTTAGAGTTCATGATGTCATCCGAGTTTGCAGTGAAACTTGTCAGAGAAGAGAATCAATACTCACAGTCGCACTGAACACTTGGACCCTATTCTTAAGTGAGCTCAAGGCGAGCTCTACTGAATTATGCAAAAAAAGGCTTAATTGTCAAAATCCCCTGGTATATGTTATTCCTGTTATCTGATCCACTTCACATGCCTGCAGATTCATGCTTTCCCAGTAAACTTCGGCTGTTTTGTTCCTGCCAATTGAACGATCCACGGAACAGTTTTGATGAGACAGGTTGGAAATGCAAGCGCATCTATCAATCAAAACGATCGATTCAGCGTGTGTATTACGCAGATCACTGAAGTTGGTATGAGGTTAGCGGTTAACGATCCGTTAAAATCGCGTCCCACGGTGCGTCTGTTTTCGAAGCTTTTACTGAAATCTATTTTTAGTGTGATCAATGCTGAATGACACAAGCTATATGCTACATGTGGACAAAGAGCAATAAGCCAGTCTCCTTCACAAACGTAACCGAAATGAAGAAAACACAGGAAGCCAAACAGGCCGGTCGATACCACGAGGTAATAAAACAACTGACAATACATATCACTGCTCTGAGAGGACGTATAATTCTCGCACCTTACCGCTCCGTTGAGTTTAGTAAAATAAAAGGATTTGTCAGATAAGCACAGCCAGAAAGGTTTATCACAACTGACAGAATAGTAATTTACTGAATTTTCAAGCTTAGGTGCACAAAGTAATTGCGCCTTAGTCACTTTGGTTAGTAAAATTTGCTAATTGGAATTTTCTTCACTTATCCGGCCTTTCTTCCCAGCCGAATCATTAGGAGACTATCCATTGTGACTGAACAGCCGTGCAATAAGGAATTAGCTTATAATGTTTAATTTTCAGCTCGGTCACCAATGATGAAAGGAATACCCGAGACCAAATGCGATTAAGTTGCCAAGCCAGCGGCGTAAATCTAAGCAGTCGTATTAGTTTCCTCATAGACTCTTACGGTAACATACACGTGGTGGAATTACTGTACTATCACGAACTAGCGTTGAAATTCCATAAACAAGTGGGTGAGAGAAGACGCTGATGTTGGAACGTGAATCAATAGTACTTCGTTATGCGGAAGAGTATTCAATGAAGAGGAATACACCGGCTGGAAATTAATCACAGTGATAGTAAAAAAATCGTGTGCGAGTGGCTTGGTCAGGAGGTTACGGATATTCATGGTATGCTTACCACTGTTGATCCCACTAAATATGTTTCAGTCGCCTAGACATTTTGGTATGGATTAACTTCACCCACAGAGCGAAATACCCATTGATAAAGTTCCAACTTTCTTCATGCTATCAGGAAAATATAAGTAGTTTAGGAAGAAGCATAAATCACAATTAATGTGCCTTCCTGGTGAATCTTCATTCGGGTAGCCAGTCAAGACGTGCCCACGTGATTGACGGGTGAGTCCTGTCTAAATCCAAGTTAATCACACTGCTCATCAGTCGCTCTTGCTCGAAAGGTTTGTTATTAACTTGCTACCTGGAAAGGATGCAAGTTAAAAACCCTCAGATATTTGTAAGACGCGCACCGTGAAGGTTTTGATCAGGCATTCAGCAACTTTAGTGTGCTTCCGGGCTTCTTGCATAGACTGACTCTAATTCAAGGAGGAAATCTCGGTTGGAGAGCAGCTGGTGGGAAAGCGAAGTAGCAGTAGATAATTTGGTTGTAAGTAGGGTGGATGGTACCAACGTGCGGCCGGAATAGATGTCATGAACCGGTGTGGGCATTCTGGTCCAGGTAATTTGCAGTAATATCCCTGGGAAAAGTCACCATGGCGCAACTGCAGTTCAAACTGTGGCGACTTTCTGCTCGTAATTCGAACAGATAAACATCCCACAAAAGAGCCCATCATATATATACAGGTGCATCCATTACACTACTCATCTTGCTATTTTGTTTGCACTCGTAAATTCTCCTCTTCGCTCTTTTGTTCTCTTATTCTGATAAGCGTCCCAACAGATTATCGCGAAAACTGAGCGTTGTGTTTTTTGTACAACCTCTTGGAATAAAACAGATTGCCCTACACATTTATGGGGATGTCCTTGAAATTTATCATGAAAGTTTTAGTTTATTCACGAATGATTTAACAACAGACCACCAAAATGTGAAGGGAACAGCAGTGATCCAGTGAATCTATTAGTGCACAGGTGGCGATAGCCATAATACAAATCAGAAGGTGAATGTGCACTAATAAAAGTTTTTAACATGGTTGCGACACGTATAAAAATAAATACAATGTGAAATCGGAGCAAGTCAAAAAGGGAACTTATCGTATATGAGAGTCCCTTGGTGGAAGTCCGGACGGCAGGAACGTGTTTTTCTCCGCAGTTCAACTGCTACATCTACCCCATGGTTGTCCGTGGACTTGTGGAGAGGTTGACGTCCTTCTCCCTGCGCGTGCGCGAGTCTGTGTGTCTTGACTGGGTTCGGTTTGCCTTTATGTAGGTCCCAGTGCGTGTATGTGGGCGCGTCGGCACATGAGTGGTTGCTGCGCTGACTAGGCGGTGCAGACAATCGACGTCCGATGTGTCAGCTTAATGCGACGTGTTTATGCGTATGAGAAAAAGACAAGCCTCGCGATCCAGTGAGCGACTGTGAGTTGAACAGTCAAGTATGTGGGTGACTAGGTCGCTACAAATCTCCACGATGGTTCCTCAGAGTTAGTCAGAAGGCTGTATCATTTACGCACTAATCCAAAGTCCCCATACCGAGAGACACGCATTGAAGCATTCCTGGGACTATTTCGGGGCCCATGGTTTCCTCAATAAAATCCTACCCCAGGAAACTATTTTCTGAGAACTGTAAAGTAAATGCTTCTTGGTGCTCTAAATGTCTCAAGCACTTTCCAAAAGGAAACACAGAGAAATACCCTGTGGCGCTGAGCAGATTTACTAGGTCGCCTCACAATGAACAGTTAATCCTACGGGAAATGCTGGTATACTGTTACGCTGCGCACCAAGCTGGATGTGCACCGGTCCACAACTTAACATTGGTTACGCGCACAACCCCAGTAGCAGCGGCAATGCAAAATAACCGTTATTGTACCAGAATGTAAGACAGAACAACGCAAACAAGTTCAAAATATTTTAGACTTTAGATATTCATCACGTCTTTGCGGCTTGACTAAACTCTTTCATGATAAAAATAGCCCCTTCACTGGTTTCCAGTAGGTTCTGTCTACCCGCCAAAAGTACTCGCTCACACCACCCTATACTATGGTTGCTCTGCATGTTACATTAGTATGTTTCATTCAAAAAGATGAGCAAGTATCGAAAATCCGGCGCTTCCAATTCAGAAGTTGTATTTAGTGTTTCTTGTAGCTGACGTCCCTCCGTCTAACGACTCCTTTTTTACATTACCGCACAGCTTTGGCGTACCCTTAGGCTATTCTGGCGTGACTTATGAGGACCGTACCAAAGGAAACTTTGCGATCGAAACTAAGTATTTTGTAATTCCTGTGAAGAAAACGTGTCCTGTGGTTCTCTTGCTCCCCCAGCCGTCCAAGAAACTTCATCGATGAAATACCTGGAAGACTTAGGATATTATTTTTTTGATGAATGAGATACATTGCTGTCAAACAACGGCCTTCTCTGAAACCTTACTCACACGTCCACGGATAGCACTCAATTTCAGTAGGCCAGAAAAGCGGAGAGTTAGCTCTTGGACTTGTACAGCCGGTCGTACAGCTTTCCGAGTAACAAATGCGATCAACTTGGGGTGCAAGGTCTAATTTCTACTGTACGTGTGACTTTTTTGCTATTCAACTGTTCAATGTGGATAGGCCATGGTAACTGCTCCATTTTATAATTTACATCTCAAAAGCCAAACGAGATCCGATTGCGGGGACGGGAGAATTTGGTCGCGAATGGGACCCAATATATCAGTACAACGGCAGGTCACGGAGCAGTCATTTACATACAGGTGAGTGTTTTTTTCGGCTGCAGATGAGTTTTGTCATTTAGCGCATTTATTTTACTTTTGGTTCACTTGAAAATACTGGACACAGTGATTCGCCGATGTACCGGAAAGAGGGCGACCAGCACATTTTTCCTCGGATGAATTAGTAAAGCACTGTTATATATATATATATATATATATATATATATACCCTGAAAGCAAGTTAATTTTAGAGTGGTGTGAATGGGGGAGAAAAAATTCTCGCGCCTAACAAGAGTCTAGTTGTGCATCAGTCCACAGGAAACCTATCAAGTACCCCAGCGACTAGAGCAAAAGGATGCGAGGCTATACAACGACTGCTTTTGCGATAGCCTTCATTCTTTGATCTACCTTGAGTCGTTTTGTTTGCTTATAGACACCGATTGAGAAGACAATTGCAATTTTGTTCAGTTGCATACGAGAAACCTGACGAGGATACAACATATCTGGCAAAAAATATTCTAGTTGTTACATTTACTTGTAGCGATGGACTCAGAAAACTACACAGTTTGTTTCAATATAGGGAGATTCTTTAAGGTGAAATACTGTGCAGTATAGCATCGCATGGTTTGCTACAATATCGTGCAGTCCTGCATGGCATAAGACGGTATAGATTGATACGATAGCACAGTACACAGAAAAGTATAGTACAATATAATATGGCTAGACAGTATATATAGTATATATATATATATATGTGTAATATATAAAGTATATATATATATAATATATGTAAAATATGTACCGTACACATCTATGCATATATAAACTAGTGCACTGTAGCTCATAACAGCACGACGTATGACCTAGTAAGTATAGTATAGTATAAAACAATGCAGTAAAGTATATTATAGGGTAACCGTGTTAAAAATACGCCTAATAACATAAATACACGCTGGTGGTTAGATTTCCTGGAAAATTCCTACATGTACCTTCCCTAACGTTTACCGATTTCTTGGAAATGAGCTGCCATATGTTTGGGGTCTCCCCAAACTTCGCTTAAGTTAAAGAATAACTAAGCACCATCGTGCTCCATAAAATTGTTTTCCAAGGTTTTAGGCTCGCATTTCTCCATCGACATAGTGGATGAGATATTATCACAATCCAATCGAACCCACTCATGCCCTCTGAAGACTCCGTACTCGTAACAATTATCACATTCATCTTGATATTTTAAGCCGATCTCATTCTCATTTTCTGATCTGAATGAAGGATCTCCTCAACAAGTAGCTGATCTAATCACACGAGAGCGTGGAGACCAGTTTAACGCAGATAAAAGATGAACAAGATAACTATTAACTAAGCGACAAATTGATATGGTTTTACAAAATGCTTAATATCGTTTTACGGAAATAACTGAGAACTCTGCATGGGCGTGATGCTTCGTTGATAGACGTTACCGGTAAACAGATGCGAAGTGCCAGTCTGCTCGAAAGGACCAATAGCTGTTCCGGCCTGATCAAAATAAACTGGTCCGATGAAGCTAAGAAAGGTATAGAAATCAAGAGTTTTGTTTGTTTGGGAATTAATTTGTGTCTTGAGGAGCAAATTTTTTTTCGCTTCAGCTCCAACCGATCCAATCACACACAACCTTCCGGGCAATAGCTTCCAAACCACCCATATGAAGAAGCAATACAACGAACGATGGAGTAAGTGCATATCCCCACGCTTGATATTTCGGCTACTGAGGCGCCTTCCTCAAACTAACCGAAGTAGCTTGCTATTTGACAGTAACGAATAATCAACCGACAAGTTTACAGGCACACATCCTTCCATCTGAATTAATATACTAATTTTCCTGCATGTCATTCACTACAGTATCTGTTCTGTTAAACTCAAATCATCAAATTTACTGTGCTTATGGCCCTGAAATCCTTTTTCAAGCAGGTATTAGAAAAAGTGTTCACTGTATGCGGTCGGAAGTCGATGTGCACCGAACTGAACTCAAACGATCATTAGCTTTTATTCATATGACACATCTCGTCATACCGATGAAAAAGCCGGGAAATTGAACATTTCATCGCCACAAATTCCGCCTAACTTGATAAAGGGGTAATAGTTTCTCCAACTGTACCCACCATTAAATGTGCCAGCATCTCAGACCTAAAATAATCCGCATTCATGAAAACTCACAAGCCTGTTAGGGTTTGGGAAGTTTTTGGGCGCCGGATAATACACTCGAAAGGAACACAACTATAAACTGATGTCCACCAGACCGGATAAGTGTAGTTCAAGTGTGTAACGGTTCATAGGGAACAATGTATCATAAACACATTTTTGTGGAGAGTGAGCCTGAACCGGAGCCGACGGATGTGCGACTGGTTGTTGGCGGGTAAGTGGAAAAGTGCAGTCAAGTCACCAAGCTCGACGAACTGACCAACAACGAAGGAGAGCGTCCGAGCTACCCATGTTATGTATGAACCGGTCGAGATCTGGCTACTCTCTAGTACTTCGTTCTTCATAAAAAAAACGGTAGCCGTTTCGTTCTGTAATAGTTCGAAATGCGTTCACTGAATAAATGGGCCAGCATTTCTTCCACTGCGTGACCCAAGGGATCGCAGGGATCTTTCGTAAAGCTATGCTCAGTCCCACTCCAAGTGACCTTCATTGATACAACATCTAGCTTGTGAACATCACACGACTACATTTTATTAGGAATACTTCCAAATGTAAAAAAGCACTCTTGATGCAGTGGGTCTTATAGACCACTTCTGCTTAGCCTCGACAGTTTCTTCACTCGCACAGCTTTTTTCTCCGGACAGACGATCCGAAGTGGCCAAAAATGGCTTCAACATCGACAGGGTTTTTTCTGAGGAGTGCAAACCGAATAAAAATACCAAACGCTTTTCTAGATATACATATATATGTATGCATGTTCAAATGT